CCACGTTTCTAATGAATCCCCATTGTACTTCTATTTATCGTATACTTCTTTTGATAGAAACTGGACTTCAGTGAAGTTAATGCTGACTTTTAGAAGGTTCAGCTGCTTTGGTATCAGTACGCAACATTTTAGTATCATTTTATCAGGCTGGGCCTTACGATTCTTTGAAGGATGTTGCTCTGAGGATTTTGAAAAGTAAGGTGGCTTTGGTTCCCATCATTCATTCTTCATCACCGGATGGCTCACTTCCGCAACTGCTAAATCTTGCCACTTTATCTGAAGTTCTAAAATGTAAGCTGAAGGTACCCGATCTTTAACTTGTTTGTTTGGGGCGCACGAATTATTTCTAATCGGAGCCTAATTTTCAGGTATATGCAGACATTTTAAACATTCTTCTAGTTCCTTGCCTGTTCTTCAACATCCAATTTGTTCAATTCACTTGGGTACTTGGGTACCAAATATTGGGGAATCAAATGGTAGGCCACTGGCAATGCTTCAACCAAATGCCTCTCTTGGTGCTGCCTTGTCAATTTTAGTTCAAGGTAACCTGTAGCCTTTGAGCTTTATGGTTTAACCTGCTGCTGCAGTTTGTATATAGGACATCAATTATAACACAGTGGGCAAATGGAAAAGAATATATTTTTAAGCATGCATTCGTATGATATTGAATTAGAAATGTCACTTTTTTCGTCTACATGTTTTCATTGCATTTTGAGCTAATTCTTATATGTTATATATATTTGACTACTAATATTAAGTCAGTTCATTGTAGGTATCAAGAATAGGTATTGTTGAACAGTTATTTCTTCCTCTTTCCTTTATGTTCTTTTTCGACGGAATGACGTAATGCCACCAGAGTTATTAGTGACTGTCAGTACTCATTGGTCATTGTCTCTTTAGTCCCGTTCTTTCTCCTCTCTTTATCGTTTCCTCATCTCCTGTTAGTCATCTTACAAGATCATACATTTTGCAGCCGATGTGAGTTCAATACCGATAATGGATGAGAATGACTCATTTCTTGACATATATTCACGGAGGTAATCTGTTTCTTTTTCAAATGGGGAATGAAAATTATAAAAAAAACTGCTGGATGCCAAATTAATTAGTTATGTTCCTTACAAAAGTTGTCCTCTGCTTGTTTGCTTGACAGTGATATAATGGCTTTAGCAAAGGATAAAGCTTATGGACAGATTAATCTTGATGAAATGAGCATTCATCAGGTAATTGAAAACGTCGTTTATGCATGTACTGCTGCCTGTTTGGTTAAACTGCAAGTAGAAAAAGAGCTCTCCTTACTAACGAAAACGATCTTGCAGGCCTTGCAACTGTGTCAAGATGCAAATTCTTTCAACGGACAAAGATGTCAGATGTGTCTACGATTCGATACTTTGCACAAAGTGATGGAGCAGTTGGCAAATGCCGGTATCTTTTTCACCTATGCTCTTATGGTATTCTAAATACGATCTCATCTATAATGCATTAGAGCTTGTATTTGCACAGGGGCTAGGAGACTCGTGATTCTGGAGGCCAGCAGCAAGCGAGTAGAAGGAATCATTTCATTGAGTGACGTGTTTAAGTTCTTGCTTGGTGTTTAGCTCAAAAAGACCGAGCTGTAATTCTTGTAAGGGGGCTTTATCATGGTGAGTAAGATCCATTAATTTCAGTGAGCTCCGGTCTTTTCCCTTCGCTCCTCCATCTCCTCCGTCTGGTGCTCCCATGCTGAGTGGTCTTATGTGTTCATCTTGAGTCGTATGATTGCCTGGGCTTCGCACTCTAAAAGCCCCAACAATTTTTAGGATAGGAATATCATCAAAGAGAGAAACATGATGTGTAAATTGTGAGTATTTTCGATATTCGCCCTTCATTTCTATAACCTGATCGTTGTCAACCCAACCATGTCATGATATGAACCTATTGCTAACAGAAAAGAAAAAATGGGACTGAAAAAGAAGAGAAAAAAGAAGGGGTGAAGTGTATGGTGGTTGATACCCCATGTTGTAAGCTTTTGATCTCTGTTTCATTAGTTGTATACATTTTACAGTATTTTCCCTAAAAAAAATTACAGATTTCAGTTGGCATTCCTTAAAGATTGTATTATGTTTTTATCCAAGTCCAAGCAATAATTCTACTAATGTAGATTGTGGTAAAAACTGCATTCACTTTATATTTGATTATTTTGAGGATTTGATTCAAAACTTGTTTTGTTTATGGTTTTGAATCATCGTGTGTGGATTTTCTTTTTAATCTCTTCTCGCAAGGAATGGTTTTGAGTTGCCTCTGTTCTTCGAATAGTGGCAAGCTCGAGCTCGATTAAATATTCGTAACTCGATATTTGGTTAGACTTCGATCGAATATCAAAATATGGTGTTGAGTCCGGCTCGAGATCTAATCGAGCAATTCGAGCTCAATTATCATATTTTAGTCAATTACTTGATTATTACTGGATCAAATCCTATTTTTCTTTTTCGAGTTGGGCACCAAATAGCTTACAAATCCCAGTGTTTAAGCCCTTAATTCCAACATGGTTACCAAACTCGCTATATCTGAAGTGATTTTGGAATTGATACACATTCTAAGGGTCCGTGTGTTTCACGTAAAATATTAGGAAGGAGAAGACACTAGCATACTCCCTGTTCATTATTCAGATAACTATTTTTCACTAGTTCCTGGTGAGGAAATGTCAGTGAAGATCTCGTTCGAGGCCCCTGAAGGCATCACTCCAAGAGTAGCTCTTCAAGGCTGGAACTATAATTGTGAAGTGCACACTGTTGTTTGACCTTGTTCTCTATGTTCGGGTTTGAACACTTCTTACTGTTTGAGGACTCTGGTTGTTCTGTTACATTTGGGGAACAAGCTTCAATGGAGGTTTAGGAATAGAGCTGAATGTCTCGTGTGCTTGCTATAGCTCCCCTCTGTTTAAATTGTATGAAAGTGGTTGCGATGTCCGAATGCAAAGAGTGTTGATCCATGGGCATCCCCTCCTCATACCTATGGAGGCGGGGGTAGTAGACCGGATAATTTTAAACACTAATATTACACGATGTGATACTTTTTGGTAATGACTAATGAGTTAGTTATATTATTAAACTCAAAACAGAGATAAAACTACCGAACACCAATTGAAAATCAAAATCTAGACCAAGAAAGAAATGAAACTATTGTCTTTACTGTTCGGTCCCTCCAATTCTTTCAGTTCCTGCAGCTGGTTCAGATCTCGGCAGCCAAATTAGTTTTACTGTAAGATCCACAGGCCGTCTACTTTCTCTCGCCTGCCAGTTAATTCCAGAAGTAGAACCGGAGATGATCCTCCCTCTCCGGTTCTCTCTAGTTCCTCTGCTTACACCGTCCTCGGAGTTGACTCTAAGGTGATTTTTGGTTCGCTGAAATGTTTATGAGGGAATTGAAATCTGTCAGGAATGGGAATTCAATTTCATATTCTGTTTGGTTGGCATGAAATTGAATTGGAATCCAATTTCATATTCTGTTTGGTTCGCAGACATGATGAATTTGATTTCAGTAATGTAAAATGACAAGATTGCCATTCTTATTTTTTTTAATTAGTTTTAGTTTGTTTTATAAATTACATATAGCAATATATTATAAAAATTTAAAAAATATTAAATTTTAATTTTATTGATTAATTATTAATTTCAATAAATTATAAAAATCATGCTAATAAACATTATAAGTTAAAATCATCCTAATTAGGGATGGCCATAGGTCGGGTTTTTGGTCCACCCGACCCGACCCGAGAACAAGGGAACCTCCATCCGAGGCCCAACCCGACCAAAATAAAGTTTCATCCGACCCGACCCGAATATATGAATTAGAAATCCGACCCGACCCGAAATAATAAAAAAATTATTTTTATTCAATAAAAACAATGACTTAATTGAAAAATTATATATAGAGGGGTATTATTGTAATTATTCCTATATATATAAGGTAAAATTATATATTTTTTGGGTCGGGTCGGGTATTTTCACCCTAAACCCGAACCCGACCCGACCCGACCAAAATAAAGTTTCACCCGACCCGACCAGAATATATGAATTAGAAACCCGACCCGACCCAAAATAATAAAAAAAATTATTCAATAAAAATAGTGACTTAATTGAAAAAAATTATATATAGAGGGATATTATTGTAATTATTCCTAAATATATAAGGTAAAATTATATATATTTTAGGGTCGGGTCGGGTATTTTTCACCCTAAACCCAAACTCGACAGACCTGAATATCACACTTAAAAAACCGACCTGACCCGACCAAAATAAAGTTTCACCCGACCTGACCCGAATATATGAATTAGAAACCCGACCCGACCAGAAATAATAAAAAAATATTTTTATTCAATATATGAATAAGTTACCAAAAGATTGATGAGGGTAGTATGACCCTCAAACAAGAGAATTGAATTCCATCATAGAATTGATGGAATTCACTTTCCCTCATTTGATAGAAAGTTGAAGTCATGAGAGATTCCAATTCCCTTTGAAAACTTAAACCAAACATGAGAAAATGGTGAAATTGGATTCCAATTCTCCTAATTCCAAGGGATTCCTGCGAATCAAACGTCACCTGACTGCTTTGCGGCCGAGAAAAGAAAATGGATAATTTCTAATATTTACTATTTTTTTATTTGAATAACCTCTAATTTTATTTACAAGTAATCATGTTCAACATTCAATGTATATGAAAAGAAAACTTTCAATGTTTAAATATATTTTTGTAAAATACTCTCTTGCTTTATTCACTGTATTTTTTCCTCTCAGCCTTTCAGTTAATGTATGTGAAAATACAGTAAAAAAGTCTTGGTTAAACACTTTAATTATTGCATATTTTTAATATTATTATCTTAGCTTTGCATGTTCAGTGCCATGAGAGGTTTTGATTTACAGTAACACAATCCAAAATTGGTCTCTGTTACATGGAATAAGATTGTATTATGTAAAACTTCAAACCCTAATAATTAAGATGGTTCAAAATCACCAAAATGATCGTTTTTACATGAACTTTACAGTCATGATCGTTTTACAACAATGTACCATATAATAGAAACTGAATATTATATTCACTGCCTCTCAGCTGAAGGCCGTGAAGGCATGAATGATTGCTTCCTTTGCGTGCGTCTGAACTTGAGTGGACTCCAAACCACCGATTTGCGTTGCAAAGCGATGACGGTTGGGTGTGTTGGCTTCCATGAACCTGCTTGCATTGAAGGACTTCCCATGAATTTGCTACTGCTTCTCACGGCTGCAGGTGTTGTTGTCTCTGATGCCGATGGAGAAAACAATCTCGAATACCTCGTGTTCTTTGGATCCCGCATTAATGATAGTCTATTGGCACAGTTGAAACCAGAAGTAGAGCTGCGGAGTGGTGTTGTCATGTGAGAGTCTGTCTGGAACGTGGCGATTGATACTCGCCTTCTCGTCTGTCGAGCTGTTGTCATGGTTATCATGGACGCAGGTGCTGTCTCTGATGGGTTCCTAAGCTTTGGCAATGGAGAAAACAACCTTGAATACCTTGCCTTCCTCACATCCCGCATTAACGATGGCCTATCCATTGTACCGGCATGGTTGAAACCAGAAGTAGAGTTGCATAGTGTCGTTGTCATGTGTGAATCTGACCGGAAGGTGGAGATTGATAGTCGCCTTTTAGGCTGGAAAACTGCTTTCATGGTCGTTGGAGGTCTTACAGCAATGGAATTACGTCTTGGTGTCATTATATTTTTCAGTTTGTTTTCTTTTCCCTCTGGCACTGTTGCCATGGACATTCTAGTTGTCTTTCTGTTGGTAGGCATTGGTGTAGTCGAAAGAGGCATGAAATTATTGATTTTTCGCAACGGTAGCCTCAGTTTTGATGGAGCCAGTGGTGGTTTTTTCTCCGTTCTGGTCTTCTCCGCTTCTTGCTTAAGAGATGATCTAGTAGAAGCTGTAGCAGCAGCAGAAAAAGCTCTTGTTTCCAGCTTTATTCTGGTTTTCCGTTCCTCGGCTAATTGATTTTCGAGGTCACGAACCTGTCGTCAAATACCAGAGAAATGAAGATGATACATGGCGATGACACCGACAATAGTTTAATCTCAGAAAGTAACTTGCTTTGGTTGTTTTTAATGATGATTACCTTTTCTTGGAGTGTTCTGCATATATGTTCTCGGGCAGCCAGTCTCAACTGCAAGGACTGTACATTATCTTGCAACTTCTTTGTTTCCTTCTCATCATGTTTCAACTTTTCTGTCTGTTAACGAATCAGAGGTCAAATTGAGTCCACCAAAAAAAAAATCTGTTTGTTAAATTTCATCAGTTTACCTACCATTTGCTTATACTTGTAAAGCTCAGTGAGGTCCACCTGTTTGCGGGCAGGACCACTTTCAATCCCCCTAACTCTGCTAGCAAAATTCAATGAACATAGAGTCTCCCCAAGATCTGCATTACTTGGGCTGATCTGCACAATCATCACGGTCTTGCAATCTCCTCCTGCAATTCATGATCCAGTTTGCCACCATTAGGCTACTTGAATTGATCCTTCGATGGCAATCTTTCCAGAAGGGGATGATAGTGATACTATGGTGAAACAAAAGCATACCTAGAGAGCTCTGTAGAATATGTGTTAGCTTCGAGTTCCTGGTTTCATGGAAAATTAGAAAGTGTAGAAGTGTAAATGTTAGACTTAGTTTTTGATGTGCATGAGTGTGATGAGATAGGGAGGGAGGGAGAAACCTGTAAGGAATATGGCTAGATTTGGATGCGAGGGCAGAAATCACATCTCCAAGTGCTGAGAGAGATTTATTTATAAACTGGGATTCTTTCAACCTTTCACCTTCAGCTTCAATCTTTCCCACACGTTCACTGCCGGCCAAATCTACCAGCCACAGGTGACTCCTAGTCTTTTGGCCATTGATCAAATTCGTTCCCTTTACAGTTACACGCAACAAGCTACAAGAAACAGTTGTTTGGTCAGTATTAATAAAGCATACATGTTTTGGTGCACCATGGTTCCTTAGCCAATGTGGTTGAATAACAAGTTTCCAATTATTAAGATTACATAATTCAGAAAGTAAAAAATTACCAGTGAGAACGGCTGCTTAATTCATTGGCGTTGGTGGCTCCAACTGTTCTGACCCGGCTTCCAAACTTAAGAAGCTTCCACACTTCCTCTGTATTGTAAACACGAGCTTCAACAAGTCCTGGAACTTCTTGTGTCCCTTCAGCTGCTTGCTTTATGTCCAATCTTTTATCAACAAAAAGGATTTCAATTCAAACTCTCTAAAACTGAGGTTCTTAAAGCACTCTTTAGGAAAGAACCAGAGATCAGTATTACAAGGTTTATTTCATCAGGAAATGACAAGTAAAAAGGTGTTCAAGATGGCTTTAGGTAAATGTGTGTTCTACGACCAATGATTAGCCAACAATATACAATTTGACGTTAGGAGCTAACCTTTTGGCAGGCTGGTTGGAGTTTTCTCCTAGAAGGTCCTTTATCTTTTCATTGTAGACCTCCATCATGCTGACAAATAGCTCATATTTCATTACACCACTTCTCTCTTCAGAAACTTGAAACAACTCCTCCAATGTCATGTAGTTAACTCCCCTGTTATCTGGTGTTCCCTCCATAGTAAATGTCTTCCCTGTTCCAGTTTGCCCATAAGCAAATATGCAGACATTATAGCCATCCAATACCGAAGTGACAATGGGTTTAGTTCGTGCAAACACAGCCTCTGCATAAAAAAGACATAATTAAAAATATTTATAGTGAACTTCGTCAAGAAATCATAGACAATGAGGATAAACTCCGTCAAGAGGTCGCAGGTTACCTTGGCCATCCTCAGGCCTAAATACATGGTCAAACTTGAATTGCTTCTTGGAAGAATCAGAAGAAACTATCTGTAGCTCAGTGTCATGGGACGGGTCAAAATCAACTACAGAAGTGTACCCGTTGGCAATTTCAGATTGATTTAGTGGTCTACATCGACAAAAAACCCTGATGTTTCCTTTAACCGCAATCACTTCATTGTAAAGGCGCTTCCTCTCTGACGACTCATGTAGGTATTTCTTCTTCAAAAGTTCATGTTCATCATCTATACCAAAAAAAGTGAAAAGCCAGTTAAACCAAAAGAAAAACAAGGATCCAACACAATGATTCCTTCATTCTATTGGGTACTTACTGAGGAGCTGAAGTGTTCCTACAACGTCATGGCCAGAAAACGACTTCACTTGACTAGACAGGATCTCGTGGTCCTTCTTCAAATGCTATTGCATTTAAGGAAGTCATCAAAGTCAAATTCTTTAACCACTAATTGAAATTTGAACATAAGGAAAATCAATAGCCTATTCTGTTTACCTGGATACAGTTACTCAAATCAATAACTTTCTTTAATATGGGAAGAGTTGCCCCCTGAGCCGGAGAAGTTTCTGGGTTCATGTTGCATAAAGATTCTTCATCCATGAAATCCGTACACTCTCCAAATTCCTCTAAAGAAACAGCGAAAAATAAACTTAACATCAACTTAATACATGCACCAAATATTAGCATTTGAAGCATATAAATGCATCCATAAATTAAGAACAAAAGAATCACAACAAATTTTCTTTGCTAGCCAATACAAACGGTTCATAAACCCTAATCAAGAGTTTTGATTAATTGCAAAGAAGGTTGAAACCAACTTAATATAGGCCAGATATTCTAAGTTCTAAAACTAAACAAGTCACAAAAATCATCAATCATCTTCATGAAATGAACCCCAGTAAGCATTTTCTAGGGTTTCTAAAATGTAAAAATATCCCAAATTATTAAAATTTTATTTCCTATTTAGATAACATTTCTTCAAAATTTGCCTAAATTAACTGCTTCGAACGTATCGAACATCTCAAAATTTTACCTCTGTCGGAGTCCGGAGAAGGCTTTGACTCGCGATTCTCCACTGTTTGATATGAAAAAAATACGCTTTTTTAACAGAAATCAGAGAATTTGATGAATCAAATTGAAGAGGGGAAAACAAAGTAAACGAACGCCAACCTTTATCAAGAACGATATGTTCGCAACTGTCCGAGCACATTTGACACAGAGAAATCCAAGAATTCGATTACAAGAAAACGAATAAAAATTGAAAGAGAAAAAGGAAAGCTTGGAGCGTTGAGTTTAAAGGGAGAAAATTGAAAGTGGGTGGTGGATTAGATTTTGAATTCAAACGAATGAATGCAAGGCTATAGCTGTTATTCTAACGGCTACTTTCATCTTCCTTCTCTCGAATTAAAATTTGGATTCGGGTCGTTTTAGCCCGGTTAATATGGAGGCCTTTCGCAGGCGAAGTAAACGAGTCTAAAAAACGTCGATTTCACGAGTTCGGATTTGGACCCGACCCTTTGTTAGAGTCCGTTTCATAGAATTTATCTGGACATTAAACTATATCAAAATGATCATTTTAGATATCAAACTTTTCAAAATTATATAATAGACATTAAATCTTAAATTTTGTTACAAAATGTACACAACATCATCATTTATCAGTAAAGAGGTGACGTGAAATGCTAAATTAATAAAAAAAATATCTCATTTAACCTTTTAATTATAACTAAAATTTTATTTTACTATTAGTTTAAGTTAAAATAATTTTGATTATGTTCCTTAAATTGAAAACAAAATGGATATAAATATATTAAAAATTATTTTTTAGTGCCATATTATAAATATTGAATTTATATCATATAAATTACTTGATACATTATCAAAAGTTAAGGGTTGTTTCTATTATTTTTATTTAAGTTTGGATGTATTTTTTAAAATTGTGTTTAAACTTTTTAAACAAGAGTCATATGCTTGAATCATATCGTTTAATAAAAAATAATTACATCGTTTGATAATTCAAGTTTTTGAATCTCAAAAAGTATAATTTTTTAATTTTACAAATACAATCATAATTAATAAATAATTAGTTATAAAATAATTTGATGAATGAATAGATTTCAAAAGATTATAATTTTTAATTTTAAAATTAAATTATTTTCATATTTTAAAAGAAATTCCATTTTTTAGTTTCTTTTTGAAATTATTAGTTGAAAATAATGAAAAAATCATAATGAAATTTTAGTTATAATTGAGGGGACATATGTGATATTTTCTATTAATTTAACATGTCACGTCACCCTTTTAACAACATTTCACGATCATTGTCTATTTTTAAATAAAATCTAAAGTTCAATGTACATTTGATAACTTTAAAAAATCCAATGATAAATTAAATCTTTCTAATAAATCTATTGATCATTTATAAATTTTATTATATTTTATATTATTGGTGCATATCAGAAGAGGTGCATATCTGCATGTGTTAGTCACTCTATATTCATCCATATGTATATATATGGGTGAATACAAAGCATTATATGTTCAAAGAATCTCAATTAATTGACAATGAACACTCACACCCCTGTCGGTGCTCGAACTTGTGACATCTAGGGAGAATAACAAGTCCCTTAAACACTGATGTCACTTGGTTCGTGCAAAACTTTTGTATGTTAAATAAATGTAAATGGACCATATTTATTAGGGTAAACTACATGATTAATCACTTCTTTTAAGTTTTGTACATTTTTTTCATAAAATTTAAAAAATATAATATTTGGTCACTTTTGTTTTTATTTAATAGCAATTACAATTTTGAATTGCAATATCGTATGTTAAGATGCATTCATTGATTTATATATTATTCTTATTTTCCTTCTCAACAGATGAGTGTAACACGAAAGTTTAAATTCGGTACACAAAAATTGACTTTTTTTAATCAAATAAACCCTATTGACATAATTATATTTTATATTTTTCTCAATATAACTGATGTAAATAAAATTTTCATATAAAGTTTTTATTTTAAAGATAGATTTTCAATATATTTTTTTAAGTTTAATAATATAAAGTGAATAATGAATAATGCATTCAATTTAATAATTTACAAAATAAAAAATATATAATATAAAACAAGATACAAAAGGTATATGTGTATATGACAAGGGTGCCAAAGCTAGAGGGGCATCCAAATAAAATGAGGTGAAAAATTATAGGATTGCTTTTGAGACTTTTGACAAAGGCATCACTTTTTTTTTCATAAGCTTAAACTAGAGGGTAGCTTTTTCTTCTTCTCTTTTTACCCCATTGCTTGTGATTCAAGGTACCTATTGTTGTGTATTTTGCATAGTATGCTATAGATGTTACTTGAATTTATTATGGGTTTCCGCGAATTTTGGGTAATTATTGAAAGATTATATCATTGCCTCATATGCATACATCAAAGTTCCCCAATAACGTGTATGAAAATACGATCTTTGAGGACGAACCAAGCAAACTCAATAGTTAAGGGATTGTTATTATTTTTTAAAGTTATGAGTTCAAGGACGATGTCTATAGGAATGAATAAACGTTCATTGTCAAATAATTGATAATATTTCGAGCATATATTACTTTGTATTGAATTTGAAGGATAATAAAATTCTTCTCTATTCGTAATTTTTTCCGTCTAGGGTTTCTACATAAAACTTGTGTGCTCATTCTGTTTTTTCCCCTTTGATTTACGATTTCTTATTATTATTTTGTCTCATTTCACAACAACAATCAAGTATATGCTTCTTATATATTATTAGAATATAATTCATACTAACCTATTAAGTCTCAAATTATGATTTTGTAGTGAAAAAAGTTAATACTATAGCGTAATACTGATCATATACTACATTAGTTCAAACATGTAATTGTTAATTGAACCGACATTCGAAAATAACATAGATTATTTGCTCTCTTTTTTTCTTGTTTGTTATTTGTTCAAAACCAAAAACAAAATATAGTTCTTTTTTATCTGGTTTTCCTTAAAGACCCCCCTAAAACATGGATTTGAAAAGTGCTGAAGAATTTTGTAAGTCGAAACCCCCACTGAACCATGCTTGGTAGTAGGGATGTACATTCGTTAGAGTCGAGTTAAAGATTTTGAGTTATTCTAGTTGACAAGTCATATTTTATAACTCAAAACTTAATTGAATATTTGTTTCAATTCGAGTTGAGTTATTCGATTTTATGTTTAAATTTAATTATAAATATTTATAATATTATGCTGTTATTTGATTCCAATTTAAACGGTTTCCTATTTCATATGCAACACATATATATTTCTTCATATTTTTATATGTGATATACGTATATCATAAAGAATTGAGGGACTCAACTCAAATTTAAAAATCAATCCACTAGTTATTAAATTTTTTTAGTTATTATTCAAGTTACTCGAGTTATATTTTATAAACAAACTCAAATTTAAATTTTTTTGAAGTTAAGTGGAGTTTATAAAATTACAATTTGAGTTGCGTTTTTTTTAGATGAGTCAAGCCAAAAAAAAAATTGATTTTTCGAGACAAGTCGAAATTTTATTAACACGCCAAAACATTCTACTCTATCAAAATAGAGAGAGATACTATCTTTGATAGAGGCATTACCTTTATTGTACACGTTCTTTTTTATTCCATTGCTTGTGATTCAAGGTACTGCATTTTGCATAGCATGCTAATAGCTAAGAATGTTACTCAAAAATCAGAATTTTGGAGATTTTTTAATGATATTATCATGTACAAATACGTATTCATGGTTCATGCGTTGAAGATTTTGAATAGGAACAAGTACAAGAATAAAATCAAGAGGGAATTAGGGTTTTTAACGTAGATTACTGTTCCAATAGAAAACTAGAAAGTGTCGCTGAAAAAGAAAAGTAGTTTATTCAATAAATTCATAGGACTATGACATTATTATTATTGAAATTTGGTCACATGAGACAGATTTTGAAGAAGAAAATAATCAACATGGGTAAGTACATTGGCAAGTAGCGTCAACAGGAACTACACAAACTCCTGTAGCTTTATTTCCATGCATATCAACGCACTGTTCCAAGCAAATTTCATTATCGCAGCCTTCAATTTCGATAATTGATTTGCATGTTTTCTCTGCTGCTGCTTCTTTTTCTACATGCATTAAAATGGCTATCCCTTGTTTCCATATGTAATGGGGTAAGGGGAGGTAAGATAGTAGGCACTAGGTTGAGAGCAACTTCTGTAGGAGACCTTCGAATTATGAAATACCCTCCATGAGACTCGATCTCACGACCTCAAGATTAAGAACCTTGTGCTCTACATGCATTAAAATACCAAAAATGTTTAATATATATGATCAAATTCTTCATCATATTAATATTTTAAGAAGTAAAGCCCATAAGAATGTAAAGAGAAGCTAAGTAAAAGAATATATATTAGAGTAAATTACCTGCTGCAAAAAGAAGAACCAACATGAATATGGCACACAACTTATAACTCTTCATTCTTTTTCTTTTATTTGTTTTTCTCCTTTGCTTTGGTTCAATGTTGTGACCTAGATGAGAAACAACATTCAAATTCTCTTAAATTTATAGGTGGCTGAGGGGACATGTTTTTGGAGAGAACTTAAAATCTCCATGATTTGTTTCCTTATTTACTAGAAGAATTGTTTCCAACTTTATATCAAGGGTAAGTTACAAATTCACTAACTGAACTTTACTGTCCTCAATAGTAAAAAAATGGGAGGATGAGGGGAAGAAAGAAAAGGGAAAAGGAAGAAAGTAAAGGAAAAAAAGAAATATAATTTTTTATTTAGACTAGACCAAAACGACGCCGCTTTGGTTAAATTATTTAATGACCGAGTGACAGAAAAATCCCAGTGTATAAAGTTCAATGAGTGAACTGAACACTTTTAAAATATAATGAGTGAAATAGAAGAAATAATGAAATTAAGTTGTATAAATTTGTAATTCACCCTTGTATTAATTAGTATTACCATGTAAGAGAACTAACCAAACAATATTCGAAATCTCCTGGATTTTTTTCCTTATCGACAGGAAAGATGGGCATGGGACTTGAACTCGACTCGATCGGGTCAGGTTATTTTTAAAAAAATTCGGGTTCAGGTCAGGTTCGAGTTTAGGGTGCAAAATACCCGACTTGACCCGACCCAAAAAAAAAGTATAATTTTTACTTATATATTTAGGAATAATTACAATAATACACCTCTCTATATATATTTTTTCAATTAAGTCACTGTTTTTATTGAATAAAAATAATATTTTTTATTATTTCGGGTCGGATCGGGTTTTAAGTTATATATCGGGTCGGGTGAAATCTTGTTT